TCAAATCCGCCTAAAGGTGTTGGCAGACTCCAATCCTTTTTAAGTCTGCTACAGTACTGTCGGTGGACTTCAATATTTCTTAAGTCCGCTACAGCACTGTTGATGGACTTCAATCTTTCTTAAGTCCGCTACACTATAAAGGTAACTGCTACAGTGAAAGTGACTGCTACCGTAGATTTTGTCGGTCTTCTTTTTAGAAAATAGATTCTCTTTGGGACACGTGTCCTAGATGATGGGTGGAGTCGATTCGTCCCTTTTTCGAGTGACTTTTAGTCACATCAATTACTATTATTATTAGCTCTTGGTGACAAAAAAGGAGAGGCGTATTCTGGATCGTATCCTTCCTCTCCGTCTCTAATGTCGTCATCATCTTCTTTTGCTTAGGTAGCAGAAATGGACATATTGTCTTCATCTTCGAGTAGTTGTAAGACCTGTATTTTGAGCTCTTCTTTTGATTTATTAGGATTTTGATCCTGAAGTATTTTTAAATAACCTGTTAGTGATAATGATCCTTGGTCATTAGGAATTTGTCGAGGTATCATTTGTTGATTTTGGGGGACACTTTTAAGTGTCATTGTATCATGGCATAGAAGAGATGTCGTATTTATCCCACCATTTTATGGAGATTTGCCTTTGTAATTTTGGGATATAATTCCACCTTTCTTCATTAAGATTTATCTGATAAGACCATTTTAAGATCCATGGTACTCCAAATAATGCCATAAAATAAATATGGAAATCCCTTTTTAGGCTTCTTCTATTATAATCAGCAAATTTCTGTTGAGATTGTTTAATCTCTGAGGGAAGGATATCGGGATTTGATCCCTAAATAAAAAACCAGCTTTTAAACGAGTTTGGAAAATCTTTCAAACCTTGTAGCCTAAATTGTAAAACGAACTATGAGTTGCGGTAGTGTTCTGGTAGGAGAACAGCATATCCCATACTTTTATATAATCAAAGTAATTATAGGCTCGTATTTTAGAGCTATTGTCTTGGAGATACGTAGGTTTCATCTACGAGAGCTGTTGCAACTTTTAAGGCTCGGGGCGAAATCATTGTACACTTCCGCCCATGCGCGTTTTTAAGAGTTTTCCATATGTCTGTATATGTGTGGGTGCGCGTGTGTGTGAAACTGCACAGTGAACCTCTACTCTAATTGAAACACAATCATCCTTGAGCATGTAAATGGCCACACCATCTTTGTTCAGATCCTTCACAGAGTAAAAATCCAATATGAGTTCCATAAATGAGATGTTAAACATATTCGTCTGAAGTAATAGAGGCCAAGTAGTTCAAGTAAGAATTGGTAATGCAGAGACTTTGAGCATTGCCCATCACAATGATGCATTGGAACTCAACAGGAAACATGGAGATTGACAGGAAACCGGGTAAGTTAGTAATTACACGACTGGTGAGAGCATTAAATCATGCAACTATGGACAAATCTTTGGGAAAAGAGTGAAAATCAACAAAATGAATTGGATTGTATGTTGGTAGGTAGAATTGAAAAATCCAAGGGCTGCAGTTTGACCTCTAATCTAATTGACATGTTGAATTAGTGAACAACATAAAACAAAATCATCCTTGAGAATGTATAAATGCCCACACCATCTTTTCTCAGAACATTCACCGAGTAAAAATCAAATTTGAGTGCCAGAGTGAAAAGAGATGCCATAAATATATTCTTCTTAAGTAACGGAGACCAAGTAGTTCAAGTAAGATAACTCTACAGCAAAGCAAAGACATTAGATTTTGCCCATCACAATGAACCAGGGTGAGTCAGTGATAACATGACTGGTGAGAGCTTCACATCAAGCAACTAAGGAATTATCCTTGTAAAAAGAGTAAAAATCAGCATCAGAATGGATATTTGACTTGTATGTTGGTAGGCAGAATCTAAAAAATATGATAGTTCACAGTTGTAGATTTGGCTTCCACAAATTCTACATGCCACTCAATTAAATACATGGACCATCCCTTGTTCATTCTTTGAGTTACGTTGATGAAGAAGAGAGTTTCTCATGCTAATTAGGGGCATTAACCAAGTTATGACCATGTCCATACTCTTGAAAAAATGGGCCTTGACCACCATAGCCCCTTGAAGAAGGTCATTGCACCATAATAACTTCGATGGAAGTCAAACGGGGCAAAAATGACAGTTAAAGAATAAGACACAGTAGAGGTCGCTAATACTTTGATCTTATCACCTAAGCCACCAAGAACATAGAGAACATCAAATTTGATATAAAACCAGAAGTTGAATTACAACAAGCTGACCAGTTCACCCATAAATGCCCTCAAATCAAGTTTAACAGTCAATCAGTAATTGATGAAGAACCTTCTCACAGCCTTCGAAAACTATCATAATTTTCCTAAGTCAACCTTCCAAATGTTGGGCAAATAACTCATTTAAGGCCATCTCAACAAGTTAAAAACCTAACTGTCTGAGTCAGAGTTGTTTTTATCACATTATAGACACTTGAAGCTGCCCGTAAATGCCTCAAGTTTAGGATTGATGAATGAACAAATTTCCTCTTTTTAGATTTTATTTGTCTATGCAATAATAATGGATTGCAACTTGTATTCAAGATGATCAATTGCCTCTAAAAGCAAAAAATAGGAACAATCGCACTCCTCAATAAAATAAAGTTGATGAAGTCCAACTTCATCATCGCAAGTAGAGGTAAGGGTGAGAAGCGAAAGATGAACAATTATTTATTCTTATGGACTGAAAAAACAAATCTTTCTTCTTTTAATTTTCTTCGAAAAATGAACAAGATGAATGTTTAAAGGCCAAGAAAGAAAAGGAAAAGAGAAACAACAGGGAAAACCAAAAGAGAAAGGAAAGAACGTTAAAAGGCAATTGTCAAATTGCTGATGGTGCTTGAATGAAAGAACCTCGACCCTTCTTCTTATTCAAATGGAATTTCAGCCCAAAACTACCACCAAAGATCATGGTAAGATCAAAATTATTTGAACGTCTCTGTGGAAACTTCAAGTTACTGGAAAATACATGTTATGCCCAAGAGGTGAACTTTTCGTTACCATTAACAGACAAGTAACACCTGACAAGTAAAGGTAGCGCACCCTTTGGATCTTTGTGACATTAAAGGCAAGTGCGTGCAAGCACACACACAAAGTCAGAGATATAAAGGAAAAGGACAGAACTGAGGATTTTAGTTAGAAGAAATAGTGCTTCCCTAAGATTAGTGGGCACTCGCTGAAAATTAGAAGGGTTTCCTAGAGTCCAGGACAACATAAATTTAAGCTGCGGGTCTTCAAAATCCTCTTTAGGAAGCATAAATCAGTCAAAGCGAATCTTTAGACAGCTGGATGACTATAACTTCAACTAAATTACAAAATCAACTTAGTACAAAATACTACACAATAAAGTGAATTACAAAAGCTCAACACTGCATGTGATATAAGCATATATTTACAAAGAAACATGTATAACCATACTATGCAGTTATATATTACAAGAAATTATTGAAAAATTATATAACATGCCTACTAAGGTAACTTAATGCATGCATTTATACTTGAATTATACTATCATAAGAAACTATACTATTATGCTCAAGTTACCATTACTGTATGCCGCATCTAACACCCACACACATTTTGGTCCTCCTCATCTTACATCAAAATGTAAAAGTTTACACCAATAACAATAAGATATTATTTATCAATAAATAAATTATACCATTACACTATCAATCAGTAACTTGTGTTTACAATGTAAAGCTATAATAATATAAACTTTCAGCTACACATGATACACATTAATCCCCATAACTTCGTGTATAGGGGGGCACATTGAGCATATTAAAAAAAAGGCTCCTAAAATGAGTAGGTTTAAAATACTGTTGGAGTGTCCATAAATTCATAAACTAAATAAGCCTAAGCAGAAGACTGGTTTAGGAAGTGATTTTGTCAAGGACGCGAATGTGGGTGAATGAGCAAAACCCGAACTGTTGTTTTTTTTTTTATGCTCAAAACTCACTTTTTTCCTTCTTGGATTGCCTAGAAAATTTTATGTATAATAAGTTAAAAGATTTTTCAAAAACAAATGTGCCATAAAAGTTGGACAAGTCAAGTGCTACTCACCCACCTTTTTCATATTATTCCATATTTCCTACTTAAAAGTTTGGTTTTAGTCAGAAACCAACTAATCAAGTGGTGTTACACCAAAATCTTGGTTTTTACATGGCCACAAGTATTAATAGGAGCCAATGCTCCCCTGACATTTCACCCATATATGTTGAAGTGTCCGCTCACAGGACTTCATCTAGGAGGTCTTGAACCCTCCGATGGATCTTTCAAAGATGTTGAACAACATCCTATGGAAGCGTCGGATACTTCATTAGAGCTTCAGGGAAGCATTACTGACACTGCTCCAAAATTATCAAGACAATTCATTTGAAATAACAAGACTAGCTCTTCAAGTTAGCCAATTGAATCAGTATCAGAGATGAGAATGGGTCAGGCTTAAAATCATTGAGGAATAAGGCCCATTAAACCTTAGAAACATGAATCTAATAAAATTAGGAAATTCAAGTTTGCTGTAAAACCAGCGAAGTGAACTAGAAATGGATTGGCCAATGAAATAGAATCCAAATAGGTGAAGAAAGTGATATTTTAAGGCCGACGTAGCCAATAAGCAAAAATGAATGTCCGTGCTACTCCCCAAAAACATAGAGAGACCTGACAAATACAAATTTAAACAACCCAAATATCTGACTTGAAGAATATCATACATATATTCACAAAAAAAGAATAAAAAAATCACATCGCCATGCAACAAGAATTGAAGGAAACCTGACAAAAACATTACACAAATTACGCATATAGCAACCACTAGAATAAAAGAAATTGCAATATCTCATTTAATTTTAACCCAACAGCTGGATATCACTAAAAATAAAGTTTTTTAGAGTCACTAAAAGTAAACCCTAGCTTTAATCCATTTGAGGAGCTAAAGAGAAAAATGGAAATACCTTCAGATAGGAAAGATTTATGCTCCCGTAAACCAGTCCAAGTGTGAAAGCAGAAACTCGAGCAACCTGAAATCAAAAATACATTCACCGCCAAAACATATATAGATCAAAGCTAAAGCCAAAAAAGCAGAAAATTGGTAGGTTTTGGAGATGAAAAGGTTCTCCACGAAAATTAAAAGTTAATACCAGGGCCAGAGTGCTACTGCCTGAATAAGGGTTTGGAACCGCCATGGATTGATCAGGAGGAGAGAAATGCGACTCACAACGGGTATTCACACAACAGACAAACCCCCGAAATCTTCCCTCAATCAGAGTACTAAATGAACAAGAGGTATTGAGCGACCAAATGAACAAGAGGTATTGAGCGACTAAATGAACAAGAGGTTTTGTATTTGGGGAAAACCTTTGTTTTGTCTTACATATTGCTGACTCCGAGATCGCAGTTCTACGCAGCAAAGTGATGATGTCGAGTACAACTATGGGGTATATTACAAAAGGAAAAGCCCCGAGTATCCTATCCATGAAACTTACCCCGAGCAATCGTTTTTTCTCACTTTTTTTCTAACTACTACTTTACTTCGCAAAAACGATAAAAAAAATTATTATTTTTTTGGACGGAAATACCTTTTTCATAAAAAAAAAAAAGGGTTAATTGGCTATCCCAAGTAATGTATCGTCAGAGCCACCAATTCAACCACCAAAGCGATGTGGCTTTAAACGGTGTACTGTCGGAGCACATCTTTGTACTGCCGGAGCGCTTGTCTTTATTTGTCGAAGCGACCTATTCAATTGCCAGAGCGTTCTGGCTCCATAAGGTGTACTGCCAGAGCGAGTCTTTGCATTGCTGGAGCGCGTCTCCACATTACCAGAGCGACCTATCCAACTGCCAGAGCGACTTATCTAACTGCCGGAGCGCTTTGGCACCAGAAAGTGTACTTTTTGTATGGCCGGAGCCCATTGTCCTCATTGCCAGAGTATTTAAATGGATTGCTGGAGCATTTAAAACGCACGAGGGTAGAGTTGTGGGTAAAAGCCACGAGGAGAGAGAGGGGGTTAGTTTAGTCTCTTTTTTCTTTTCTTTTTTTGGATTGGGGGGTATTTGCGAGGAAAAGTGGTTGTGGGGAAAAAAATGAGAGGAAATGTTCGCTGGGGGGGTAAGTTACATAAATAATATTTTTTCTTTTTTTTGGATTAAGGGGTATTTGCAAGGAAAGGTGGTTGTGGGGAAAAAAATGAGAGGAAATGTTAGCTGGGGGTTACTTACATACATAATATATTTGGGGGGGTTTTGTAATTTTCCATACAACTATGCTCTTGGCTTTACGATAATCCGGGACTATGGTAAACAATAGTAATGAGAACCATGATTTTAAAATCATTATGGATGTTTCCAAGTTTATTATATCAAAATCATTATCATTATCATCTGATCCTTATCTAAATTATTTGGAGTCACCAACATGAATATTGCTTTGCCATCATACTTTATCAAGGGTCACACCCTAAGTAAGATCATAAGTCATAATATCTTTTTTCATTACTTCCATGTCTTTTTGGATATTTTCTTTGTCTTTTTAGATCATTCCACTACTTATTACAAAATGACCAAATTTAAAATCGCATGGGTTAGATCGGGATTACTAAGTATGTGATTCTAGCAGGAGAACCTGGTTCCCTTGTTTTTTATTTGTAGTTATATGCAATAATTTTGTTAGGAAATTGCTGCAAAAGTTGGCACTAGATCCTTGCAATGCAGGGCCAGATTCATGTTTTAAGTTCCTGAATGATGGATGGTGTTAAGGGTCGATGATGGAGAGAGTGAGGCGAACGGTAGGTCTATTATTTCCCCAATGAGCATTATTCAAGCGGATGGTGAAGATCCGTCTTCCTCATTTATATCGTATGGTGGAGATCCAGACGTGCAAATCGACCCACATACAAATAATTAGTGGAGGTCTTGAAAAAAAAACCTATGTGATCTTTTACCGAGGAATAATATATATATATATATATATATTTTTTTAAAATATATATATCACCCCTTTTGTTTTGACAAAGGATCACTTACGGGTGGCCTTATTACAACAACATATACTTCAAAATAAAATCAACATGGCAAGAAAAAGAAGATCTGAAAACTTGACGTCATTGAAATAACTATTCACTATGCTTGAGAATAAAAAATAAGATTAAAATAAATAAAAGAGAAGAGTGCCGGAGATTACCTCAACCGGGTTTATTATACCCCACACCGAGTCAGCACCATTCGTTAGCGCGGCATCGACGATCTTGCTTCAATCTCAAACCAGAAAAGAAAGTTTAGGCCAAGCCACACCAATGGACCAGGAACCCCTTTGATCGCAAGCTCAAACTCTAAGTGAATTCCCTTAGCAACCTAGTTTGAGAGCGATGGATTCTCTTTTTGTTAACCCTAAAAACCTTTAGCCATAAATTCATAATTGAGAGATGAGAGAGAGAAAAACTCTATAGCCTAAGCCCTTAGCCTATTTTCACAATATGGGAAAGAGAGATCAAACATGAGAGAGATAGAAAGACAAGGTGTAAATATTTTGGGTTGAAACATTCCATTTTTTATAGGCTTGAACAAGATTAGGATTTCTTAGGGTTTTCCTTGGCTTGCATCTTCTTGTGAGATTAAACATTAACCGTTGATTAAGGGTGACTTGTGGGGTGAGAGATCTGAGTCATCCATTCCATAGATGGGACATCAATATTATACAAGGTACATGAACCCTTAACCTCCTTTCCTAAACAATTTCTCATCAATAGAAGATAAGTTGAATTAATTTTAATTAAATATTGTGTATTCCATAAAATAATACATCTCTACACATATTTTTCATAAAATATATCAATGATATATCAAGTCAATATCTACTTCCATATTAAGTCAATATATGATCAATACATACTCAATCCATAATTTGACCACATGTCACAATTTAAAGTTACCAAAACATAAGGTCACATGGACCACAAAACAAACCTTTCTATAAAATAGAAAGTAGTAAGAGGTGGGGCGGGCCACCCATGGGAGGCACATGTGGGCCCCATCTTCTAGAAACATGGTGGGCCCATGTGCACAATGGGCCCTCGTGATTAGTATTTTTTATGCATTTAAAATTAACAAAACAATTTCTAATGAATATTAAAATATTATAACATCAATATATTTAATTTTATAAATCCTAAAATTATAAATGAATTATCCAAAGGTTCATAAAAATTCAAATAAAAATTCTTTAATAATTATTAACATAAAACAAATACAATTAAATTAATTTGATGGGAAATTGATCCATATGGTTTAAGAATTGAAGCAACAATCATGGGGTACTCTACTTTCAACTGTGGACTACGAACCACACTTGTTTTATCAGATCGACCAAGTGTTTCTCATGACCCACAGTCCAAATAGAGATTCATTAGTGGGTCACCAAAGTCTGGCCGATGAGTCAAGGGGTTGTAATCTCAATCTATGGACTATAGGTCCTCCCTTAGAGACGAGTCCAGGTCACCAAGACCCGATGTGACCATAGCTCTATGGGTATAGGGGGATCTCTCGCATATGCATCCGCTTCACCCTAAAAGGTGGATTTCTAGCTTTCCCGAACGATCTATTGATATCTATGCCGTGGGATGGCACATGGATGAGGTTTTGACCGCCATCTTTGTAGGCCACCATCACAAACAAAGGTCACACAGTCCCTCTACTCACTCATCCCGGCATGTTTTCCGACCTCATCAAGGGCTAACCCATGAACCCTCATCGGTTTGTTCTTCATGCTCAGGTAACATGGGTTTTTCCTACCGACTAGCCTAGATCGTCAAGCACAGTCTGGTATCTGCAAACATCGTTTGTATGATATGGTCCACGAGGGACTCCAACTGAATTCATGTTCCTCTATATCATTTCATTTTACAAGCACTCATAGGGCCTTTAAAGGCCACATAAACCCAACAGGTCTCACTAGTTGACTGGATTGTCATTACATGACATAAAAGTGTTCGATGCATCCTGGATACATGAGTCCCCTCACTCATCAAAACTTCATCTTTGAGCTAGACCGTGAAATAAGGGAGTCTAGCTAAAACTTAAAATGAATGACATTAAAATGATTGTCAATTTTAAATTTAAAAAATTATTTACTTTTCATATTCATGATCCTCATTGTCTAGATTACCGACCCTTAAAAACTTGGATCTAAAATCCATCTTTGAGAAAGAATATGGAGAGAGGACACATGAGTAGATGAGTTTGCAGACACACAAAAACCACATCCTTATATAAAAGGTGCATATATATCCATCACATGATATCTGCCATGTGCATAATGTCATTTGTGCTATTTTAGAAGTAAAATGATCAAGTGAACCAGGTGAATGGTGTTTTTAAGTGTGTCAGTCACATATCCACCGTCTTTTCATTTTGCTAGCCAAGATCAAATCATTTTGTGGGAATGCAAGTTATGCTATTCTTGGATTATGGTATCTTGTCAATAGATTATGTTTGAGTTTTTGTTTTGTGAGTCAGTGGGGAGAGGACCCCTACCCTAGGTAGGAATTGAGCTTTGGATATAGCGTTGCCGATCGTCAAGCGCTAACCAATTAAGCCCAAGCTTTGAGTTTATAATGCAAGAAGGCTCAAACCGCTTACAGAAGTGCGCACTTATCAATCCTTGTAGTATTATCCAAATAGATTCAATACAATGCACATACTGAAAAATTTCTACCTTACTTTAATATTATTCTAACATATAAATTAAGGTTAAATCATTTCCATCCAACTTACTTGGACAGTGTAGATTACATTGTGCACTTTCAATCTCCACTGCCGAACTTTGTTAGATAGTGTAGATGGCATGCGGGCTTACGGGCTTTCCCACGTAGAAACCATGTCCATGAATTAAACACTTTAAAACTTACCTTTCATCTAATCTCTTGAGTACGAGCATGGTGGAACACAGGTCCTCAGGCCCTCTCTTTATCAACTATCACATAATTTCAGTTTTATAATTGAAAAATAGTTGTCTCCGCCCTTTTACTTTTTCTTTCATGTTTTATCCAAATCCCAGTTTTTTTTAAAAAAATAACCTATGAAGAAAGAGGTAGAAGATAATTAATTTTTTGTTGGTCCATAAAAATTAATAGAATAATTAAATGTCAATTATTTATTCCAGACAAAAGAATGTTGTCATTGGTATTTAGCTTTCTAAACAAAATCAAATATTTTAGAGAAGTTTGGATAAAAAATTAAGTAGGTATTAGAGTTCCATTGGATTACTCAAAAATAAAATTAAAACAAAACTTAAAAATATGTATATCTTTAGTATTAAATTAAATAGATCCAACAAGAGCTTGAGAATTGTACAAAGTGTGTGGCATTGACTAGTTTTATTTTATACACTAAATAAAATTTCATTATCACGTTGTGGTTTCCAATCCTGC